TAATTATAATACCATCTTTATGAAGAATATATTTAAAGAGATTCCATTTACATTTTTTATATACAGTCAGACTTTCATATAGTCATCTAATCAGTTTCAACAAAATTGATGATTATATAGAAGTGTGATTATATAGATTTATGCTTTTTTAAATTATCATAATTTTAGCTAAAATTATAAATTATATAGTATATAATCACATGATTTATGCAGATTATTTTTATATTTAGTAATAGCTATTATAGCTATTCTATAAAAAAATATTTTTTTTAAAATCAATAAATTTCTTTTTAGATAATGTGTGTAACTATAATTTTAAAAATGGAATTTATTTAACGATCATAAGTTATGTGATTTATAAATTCAGTTAAATTATGACTTTACCAAAATTATAGTGATTATAAAAGAGGTCTAATTATTAATAAAAATAATATGTAGGTTAGAAAAAAATAAGTGATAATGATTATAATCAATTTGTGATTATATAGAGATAATTTAATATTAATTAAAACTATTTCACAAAATCAGATGTATATAAAACGATGTGACTATATGGGATGAGTTCTGAGAAAAGGGATCAAATTGTAAAAATAACATTTTTAAAAATAATTAAATTTCTGAATCAAACAATAAAAGTTACATCTATTTTACTTAGGAATAAATTTTTGAAAAAAATTTCAATTTGATTCTTTTTTTGTAACATTCACTCTATATAGAATATAACTATATAAAGACCTGACTATACTTTAATGAATACTTATATTCTATTCTTATTTATAATATATAACTCAAAAAGAATTGCTAAATTTTAATTAGATCAGATAACAAATATTATGCTATTATTATTCTCTAATATCACTTAGATATATCTTTCTAAAAAAACATCAAGTCATTTGCTTGAGAATTTAATCCAGTAATATCTGAATTATTTAACATAAATTTTTGATCTTTAGATAAAGCAATAGCTTTATGAGTAATTAATTTTTGAGTAATAGTATTTCTATTAGCCTTTTTTAATGATCTATAAAAATAGATCATCTTCTAAGTATAAATAGATACTTAGAAAGTTTTTCTAGATAGAAATTGTTATATAAATTGCAGTTTTTAAAATTGTTTTTATTTTTTAATCTTAACACAAACTTGTTTTAGTTTAATATTAAATTTTTTACTATTTCATAAATATTTTTATTATTATTTTTAAAAAATTTATTATCATAAGATTACTAGATAAAATCTAGGATTTAATCAGATATTTAAATGATCAAGATAAATCTTGATTAAATTATATTAAAGTTTTATTAAAAATCTGTAAAATTCAAAAAAAGCTAAAACTATATTAAAGCTTATAAAAATAATAAAATTATATCAAAAGCTTAGTAAAAATTTAGCGAAATAAAAGGTTTAGATGTTTAACTAAATTCAAAATAAGTTTAGATAAGTAATCTTAATTATAAGATTTCTCTATCATTCTATTATCTCCATTATTTTGTAGTAATTAGTGTATGATTTTTTATATTATTTTTTTTAATGACTACAATTTTATTATGCTTTGCATTACAAATAAAAGATAAAACAATTTTGTAGAACAAAAATACATTGTAAAATAATAAAATTTAAATAAGTTAAACATATTTTATATTTCTCAATAAGACAAATAACTTTAAGCTATTTTTGAAAATAGATAAAATGCTTTATTAAAAAGAATGTGGATTTTATATTCATAATTTTTATTGGTTGAAAAGTAATTAATTATTATAAAATGTGTTACAGTAATTAAATAATCAAATATTAGGAAAAAAACACATTTTGCTTCTAGTTTTAAGTAAGTTTACTTTGTATTTTAGTATTTTTTGGATTTAGCTAATCTGATTTCTAAAGACTTATTTTTTCACTATATTTAATGACTTATATTTTTAACTTTTTATCTACAAAATAGATTTTTAAATAGCTTTATATTTTATTTTTTAAAATTTAAATGAACTTTAATATTTTACTTTATAATAGTATAGAAAATGAATACATTTGAAATTCAGAATAATATATTTTAATTTAACTTTAAAAAACTTCTATATTATATATATATATATTTTTAAATTTAATAAATAGCAAATATTTTTAATTGGAAATGCTATAATTTTTTCTGAACTATCTAATTTTTCCAAATAATCAATTTAACTTTTTTATATTTTTATATTTTTTTGATATTAAACCAATATTTTTTTAATCAAACTTTAACTTTATTTTTTGTGATTTTAAAAGAATATTATATACAATAAGTATTTGGAGTATTTACAATTCCTGTATCCTCTATGTATAATATCGACCTATATATTATATTTCAGATAAAATCAAAAACCTTTAAAATTTTACAAAAGATCTAAAATATTACAATTCGTAATATACAAATTAATATTTAGTGAGTTCAGTATTTATCATAGATAGATTATTAGCTTTTTTATAATAAAGCTCTTTCTTTTATCTAATAGATACTTTTTTTAAGAAGTAAAAGTTATAACAAAGTTATCGAATAAAGAACTAAGAATAAGAAATAAAGATTTATTATATAATTTAATTATATTTATAAGATTATTATATTAAAAATAATATAATAATAATCACAAATAATCAATAAATTGAAAATAAAATTATGATAAATAATTGGTAAATTAAAAAAAAATGATATTAATTTATTGAGAATAAATAAATATAACTGATTTATAACTAAACTTTGATATATAAATTTATAATAAAATCAGTATAAAATAATCATATTAATTATAGGTGATTTGATTTAAAAAAAAGTTCATTATAAGCCAATATCTATTTATTGCAATTATTATATTAATGAATTTTAATTGCAATGTAATTTAATTTAAAATTTTGTTTTTTAAATTTATAAATATTTAAATAACTTTAATTACAAATTTTAGTGAAAATAAATCAGCTTGTTTTTTTTAATATCATAAGTAATAGAATAAATATATTAAAAAATTTTTTATATTCTAAAAGAAAATAAAAAATACATTATTTAATAAATATTTTATATAGATTCTTCTTTTCTTCAATTTAATTTTACAGATTAATTATATTGATTACTAATATTTTTTAATATAATTTTTTAAAACAAACTTAGTCTTATTAGATTTTCTTGATGTGATAATTCAAATATTAGGTTTAATATATGTATAATAAGATTACCCTATAGAAATTAATTTAAAATTTTTTAATTATTACATATGAAAACAATATATTTTTAAAAATATCTATCAAATTTAAAATATTATTATTTGAATTATAATATCACAAAGAACTTAAAAACAGTAATTTATTTTAATCTTATAGTTATATTTCATGAAAAATAAATTATGACACATTTATCAACAGTTAAAAAAAAATTATAATTTAAAGTAATTTTTTTTTAAAAAAATTGGGATAAATTATTAGCTTGCTTTTCAATTTAATGCTAAAAATTTATAATTTAATTTAAATATGCTAATTTATAATCAATAATACCTATAATCATCAATTTGATAAAGTTAGTAATAATAAAAATTTATTATTAATATTGTAAACGTGTTAGATGGGGTGATTCTTTATAATTTAACAATTACGAGCTTTTACTTTGATTAATTTTTACAAAGAAAAGTTGATCCAAAGATAGCGATAACGCGAACTTCAAAAGCAAGATAAAGACTAAAAAGAAATAACAAAAAGACAAAAAGAGAATAAAGGTAAAACAATATTTTCAACTTAACCAATCACATTTCGATAGGTTAATAATTAATTATTTTTAGTGCAACACAGCAAATCTGAGATAGTTTAACAAACAATCGACGTTTATTTTTTATGCAATGTGAAGAGAAAAAAATGTGTCATGGTAACCATCCAATCTGCTTGCTACACGCAGTAGCTTCATTAGTATTACATACCTTTAGAAAATTAGGAATGTTTCGTGATACCAAAACTATTAGATGTTACCTTAAATTTTTGTTTAACTCTCAATTCCGGTTATTCCTGTTGAACTATCTAGCTCATCTAACCGGTTATGCTATCCGGTTAAACGCAGAACCATTTTTCGTGATTTAGGAAACGAAACTTGGAAAAGATGGATAAGTGGAAAAGATTGAATTTAACTGTTGATTTTATTGAAGAGTCATTTTAAAGATATGTTTGTTGTGAAATCCTATTTAATGTATTTAATTTTTAATATTATCCTTTAACCTTATCACAAATTGACCGGTCAATAAACCGGTCAAAGATTTTCTTTAACAGGTTATTGTCAATAAGGCCACCAGCTTTTTTAGAATTCTCAAAAAAAACTTACTGTGAAATTGATTATTAGCAAAACAACAAAAACTATAGCGTTACCTTACAATATTTTTATTATTCGCATATCCTGTTATACTAATTTATCCATTTTGTAGTGCAGAACTAAAATTTACTACCCAAACTTATTGGTAATCAAGTTATGTAATAATAAGAATGAATAAAAAAAAATGGGAATTCGGATTTATTTTTTTAAAATATATACATGTATATATATTTTAATATATCGTCATAACAAATTCTTTGTAAATATGGGGAAATCACCCATTTTTTAACACCAATGAAAATAAAAGATAATCTTGTATGAGGTCGCGTGCGAATTTATTATTACTTTATTTCTTTTGTAATTGAACGGAAAATTTTAAATAAAATTAAAATTAAATTTATTGCTTTATCTGATAAAATCAATTTTTAATTTTTAATTCTGATGTCAATCCATCATATGATATTTAAATTAAAAATTTTTTTTCCCTTCTTAAAAAGAATTAAAAATTGTTTTCCCTTTTTTGTTCATATCACGTTAAGAAAAGGTTGTTGCTTGCCGCAGTAAAATATATAGATTATTTTTTTTTATTTTTTTAATGATTAAAATTTTTTTTTTTTTTTGAGAAACAAATAGTGAAACAAAAGATCCTTTTTACAAATGTGAAAAATATAAAATTTTTGAATGATATCTATGCCTCATGCTCCTTCTTGTTGTGTGTTGCCAAGTGAGTTGTCAAACATTCTCGGCTACATGCGGCAACCACTTGACATTTACTACATACCAGCAGTTTCCATATATCGCTGAGCTCTTTGGGCTCAAAATCGCACGAGATACATATGGGTTTGACCTTTGGGATTTGACGCTCCAAGATCCTAATCTTGGTGTGCGCTTTTTTAACTAACTTATCTGCCGTGGCAAAATTACATTCTCCAATTCGTTTACAGGTCCCGTATAATGTCAGGGCCTCAGTGAATTCACCATCAGCCTCTGCCGTCATTGCCAAGCAGAAATTCATATGAATCCTTGCGGCCTTACACTTCTGATTATCCTTGTGCGATAAGAATTTTGTCATGGACGGATCCATCAGGGTGCACTCGATGTGCCTCATGGCCTTTACGCCGGTGTTCCATATGTCACCATCCTCCGTTCGACACATCTGTTTCCGATATATCTCAGATAACCCGGCAATTACGTCCAATAATAAAGACATATCCCACTTGTTGTTTGGGATCATATATATTAATTTGAGGGCCAAGAAGTAGTAGGCAGCAGCAGATGCATAGTCTGGATTCACTGTTGAATTGAGACCACCATGGTAGACCAACCCAAGCTTTGCGGCGGCGCACGCACTTCCTAATGTCGTCGCTTTCTCCAACAATTCAACAGATTTTGCGAAATCGCGAGACGTGGCTTTCGATTCCGCTTCACATAGAAGGGTTGTAACTCGGGAGACTACCGGAGGCAAAGCCTCTTTCTTTCTTGATAAGCTGTTAAATCTCGATTGATTTATCTCACTTGAAGAAGCGGAACAAGAGGTATCCTCCTCTGCAAAATCCTGAGGAACCAACGTACGAAAGTTTACGGCCTGTTCTGGTTTCTTATCGATGGCAGGTTTTTTTTTGAGCATGGAAACGAAACTTAAGCAAGCATTCATTATAATGATTATTTTATTTTGTAGATATGTATGTATATGCGGAAGAAAAAAAGTTATCCTGAAAGAAAATGAGGGATTTATTGATTTTTATTAATTTCGGGTTAAAAAATATTTTGATTTTCAGAAAAAGAAAGTGGTAGTGGTATTTTATATAAATTATCTGTGATGGTGACATTGAGTTGGTGTGATTCTATAAATCAATATCACTTAAGAATTAAGTTAACCATAACTTTTTATGAAAGAATGGTTATTGGATAAGGATTTTCAATTAATACATAAAATATATTTGTACTATCCCAAGCGGAAATAGAACTTCAAAATATTTACTTTGATGGAAACAGTAATGGGAAAGTGAAAAAAAGGAGATCGAACAAACAAATTAAAAATTCACACGAATAAAAAAGGTTATGAAAAAAAAAAAAAGTTTTTATGCACAAATTGTATCCTGATAAGAAATCTTTGGAATTTTTTTTTTTTTTTTAAAACGACAAAAACCTTGAATTCAATAATTTCACATGAAGGTTTACTTTATCTGAAGTACAAAGGGCTGATGTATGCTTTTATGAGTTTAATAAAATTTTTGAGAGGAGTTAAACCAAAAACAGGATTTTTATACAATCCAAAATCAATATGAAATAATCGTGAAAGGTGTAAATATTTTCCCCAGATTTCAAATTTGTGCATCAGACCTGTTCTCGCTCACCCTTTTTTAAAACTTTCACTTTTATGTATATAGAATCAAAAGGTCTTGACCACTTACAACAATGGAATATTTCTGGATTAATTTAAAAAAGGAAAAAAAAAAAAAAAAAAAATAGAACACTATTTATTTTGTAAAAATTTGAAATGAGAAATGCAGGATCTCATTGTGAGAGGTCTTATGATCTCTTGTGATGTTGCATGTGTAAATTTATACATGAAGCGATTTTACTCATTGGCTGAATGAAATCGATCATAATTAAATCATTGCCTTTAACTGATAAGCTTCAGATTTGACATGCAATGATACCTTGTCCACCAAAATTCTTTGGTCAGGTTCTGACAGTTCTTTCCCTCTATACAATTTTTTTGATTAATTATTACATGTACCCCAGGTCACCATGTACCGCAATAAGCCATTACCGTGAATCATTTGATCATTATCTGTAATACACTTTATTTTTAAATTTTTAATTCATCGGTCGAAATTTTTCAAGTTCGATTTGTTATGGTAATTCAATTTTAAATTATCTCCTGTGTTCGCATACGGGGAATGATTTAATGCAGCCTAGTCGAAAATCTTTTGGAAAATGATTAATGTATAGAAACATAACGTGGATGGTTTCTCCTTATAAATTTATCCATTTATCGTTTAATTTTTGTAAGAATCCCATGAGATTTTTGTAATAAAAAAAATAAAAAAAAAATCCCTTCCATTTATATTAATAAAGTTGGCGCTTGTCCTGCGTATAATTTGAAATTGACGAATTTGGATTAGAACAGGTCTTGCGTATGTGATCAAAGAAACCAAAGGGTTTTCCGCAAACTTTAACTGTTTTATTATTTTTAAATATAGGTGATGATTACGAAATTAAATTGTGACACTTTAGGTGTCACTTAAAGCGGGTCGACGTAATTAGCTTCTAATTTTAGTTAAATTATTCTCTGCGCTCTGCGAGATAAGAAACTATGATACATTTTCAGTTAGCGTACTTTAAATATTTATACCAAATTGACCAACAAGAATCCGTTTGTCCTTGCACAAGCGATGATAAATTAAAAATTCACGTCTGTAAAAAGAACTTCCTCCCGAGTTTTAATAACTATGATTGTAAGTTTTCTATCTGCATATAAATAACAGCCACAATAAAATGAATGTTAAAATACCGTCCTAATATGTATGAATTATACGAATTGGGAAATTTCTTATTATGCACGGAACAATGAATTACTTGCAAAGATAACGCGTATTATTATTATTATAATAATAATTTGAATAAAAAAAAAATCTGTCATGATATTACTTCATTCTCATATTTCTCAAGGCAAAATGATAAATCTCCAATGGAAATTTCATTAAAAATTACAAAATTGGTTAGTTTTGCTGGACTTTAAGATTTCGGTAAATCCGGAAATCCGTAGCTTGAGTAACGATAAGATTTGTGTTATCTGTTCTGTTATGTTTTGAAATCAAAACCAATTCTTCACTTTTTATTTTTATTTTTTGTAATCTTTACACATCATTTAAAAACATTTTTTTTTTTGATTTTTATTTGTAATCTTTTTCTTTTATTTAATTTACTTCGTGTATAAATATTAAGCAAATCAAAAGCAACTTTTAATCATTTGCATCCAGAGACTTATTGATTTGGTTTGAATTTAATAAAGTTTGGGTCACATTTTATTATTCATTACAAAAAAAAAAATAAAGAATGATATATAGAACCTTTACATTAAATTCATATGTCAAAGTCCTTCACTGTGCAATGCCATGCAACATCCCCATGCAGAATTATGAGTTTTTTTTTTTTCGATAATATATACTGTATATAAAAAAAAAGAGACGATAAATAGGCAAATCGATTGATAAGGATTTGCATTAACCAATATATTATATTAAATAAAATCCCAAATTTCACTTTATTTAAATATCTCGTCTCAAAGTGATTATATCAGATCTGAATGAATTTCACATTTTTCGATGAATCACTTTTTTTAAAAAAAAAGCCATCAATGTTTTTGACGAATTTGGATTGGATTAGTTAAGTTTTCATAGACATTTAAAAAATTTCGTTAATCCACTTCTAAAGCAAGACGTAAAAGCCATTTAAGTTTTCAATCATTCGTATTTCATAAATTATAAACCGTATGCATTTTTATTTATTATTCGATATTAAACGAATAATGTATCAGAATTTATATTATTTATATTAGGATAACGTAAAATAATTTTATCATTTGTTATTTCTATTATTATTATTATTATTATTATTATTTTTTAAAAAAAACAGAACCATACTTATTACAAATGGATACTTTAATATGATAAATGAAAGTAAAATAAAATTCATATTAAATCTTTTATCTTGAAGCTCCCAGTTTCGTGCAATGCATTTTGAAAGGTCTAAAATTTATAAATTAGCACGTGACGAAATATCGCAATTATTAAAAAAATTCTAGTGCGCAAAATCAGATACCTCTAGTGAATACCACTGTATTCATTGAACTAATGGTAAGAAGAAAAGGTATGTATACTAATTCTAGTTGATCTGAAATTCTGTAATCTCGAAGAAGTTCAATTGTCTAATATAATGTATATTAAAGACAAAAAAATTTTAATATTCTTTATAGATAAAACGTAATGAATTGATGCCGGTTATTAAAAAAATTGTGAATGATCTTCTACACTTTATTGAAAGGGTGGGAGTAAAATGGAAGTGATAGCAAAGGTAGATAGATCTATAGATATAGGAATAATTTTTTTCGGAATTGTGAGAGAGAAAAGAAATAATATGACGAAGGGCTCGCATTATATGGACTAGGAACAAACTACGAATGCATGTCATATAAGCTTGCCTTTACGTTATAAATTAATAAAATTCGCTCATTTTAGGTATAATAAATCATGAACATAATGCGAAAAAATAAATAATTCTTACATTGTTTTTTTTTTATTACCTTTATGTGATTTTATACAAAGTTGTGAAGTAAGAATTTAACTTGGATAAAATCTGGAAGTCTTATTATCAATTACTATTTATAAGTTAGGTTTTTGCATGTAGTTTAGGCTGCTGCCCATTTCATAATTTAATTTATCAAGTTGCTAAATTTGAATGAGATGTCTAGTAATTCTACACAAATTAGACAATGATCATTAAATCTTCACCTAGTTTTGATGACAAAAATAATGGTCGGAACAGTCAAGTTTTTAGGCATAGGTGTAGTAATAATTTACGTTATTTTATTAATAAAATTTATTCCACTATGTTAGTTGTTGTTATCGTTGGTAAATAATAAGTTTTTCTTTTCGCGTGTCTGATTATAAAGTATTTCATTGTGCAAAAAAAATTTGATACAATTATACATTACACGTACGCTTGTTATGCATGATGCTCCCGCACCTTTTCATCCGACCTGAATTGTTCGATCAAGAATGGTTATCAGAATTGATCCCGTTGGAATTTGATTCTTAATAAGATGTCGCTATTCTAGACAACTTTTTAAATCGTTTTTTAGAAGGCCGTCCACGTGCTCTCACATAATTAGGAATTGTGATTTTAGCCTACATTTTCTTTCTCTTCTGCTTCTTCTTTTGTAATATATTCCATAGAGTATAATAATCATTAAGTAAATTTATGTATGGGAAGGTTTTCAGGAAAATCTGGTTCTGGACTAAATTCAAGAACTTAATGCATTTTAATCTAATGTCTTCAAAAATGCAATAAAAATCAAAATTTTGTTAAAAAAAAATCTCAGAACTGATTTTTCTAACGGTCTTTCCATATTTTGATTTTTGACCTAATCGGCAGCAAGATTATTGTCCGAAGCGTAAGCGTAGACATTTTCGGTTAGAGCTGAAACTATGCATGTGGATTCTGTCATGACGCGTGATCTGCCAATCACATTTCTGTCAATCATTATTCTAATAAAGTTAGGAATTGATAATTTTTAATTTAGTAATACAGATATTTTTTTAATTAATCGTATTTTTAACTTTATAAATAAACAGTATTAAGGTTATCTTTATGTTGATTAACGATTCGGACGCTCCTAACGGTTCCCGTTACCTAGTATATATATATATATATTGTAATTCATGAGCTCTTCCGTTGACATTCTAATTCTTTTAGTTCAGGTGTAAACATTTCCTCCGTGAATATTATTTAAATAAGCGAATTCTGTACTGAAAAGCACTTTTGATTTGCTATTGTTATGCGCAGTATGGAGACAAAGGTAAACAGAAGGTTTATATTTTGAATTTAATTTTATTAACA